ATAAAAAGATCTTCTACTTGACACTCATCACTTTAAAATTTGCTACAGCTTAATAGTTTTTAGTAAATTTTATTACACTATCTATAGATTTTCTATTTCTATTACCAAAATCTTTAATATGTTGAATTAGGTTTGTACTGCATAGTAGTTCTAATCTAGTTTGTATTTCTATTTCTAGACTATTCTTTTGTTTATCTATTTGTTTATTTCACATGTTGTACTTACCTATTATTTCCTAATAAAGCTATTTGTTCTTTTTATTTATTGTTTAGTATAATGTGATATGTTAATATCCAGTCATGTGTTTCAATCTTGTTTTTTAGAGTCTAGTACTATTTTCCAATTTTTTCTAAAAAATTTTTCAAAATTTGTAAAACTAATAAGATCTTTTGTTTAATAGAACTTTACTTATACTATTGTTAAAGTAAAGTAGTTGTGTTTTGTGTACAGAGTCTTTTTTCTTAGAGTCTAAAATGAGATTTACTAAGCAGTTTTTGTGTTTTCTTTTTATGTTTGTTTGGTCTTGTTTAGAAGTTAAGGATCAGCAGAAAGAGTTCTATTATATTTATCATTTCTATTATATCTACTATATCTTTTATATATATTATATATTATATATATTATATTTATTAGTTCTTATATATCTTAACATTACTATATATAGCATTTATTAATAATAGAATAGTCTTTATTATAATAAATGATATATAAAAATATCTATAAAAGCATTTCTTTCTGAACTTTCAAAAAAGTTAAATATCTTTATATATTTCATAATTAATAAACTGAATGCAATATTTAGTATCTTTATATACTATCTATTGTTGTCTTTGTCTTAAAATTACTCCATATATTGTTAAGTCTTACTATAAACTTTGTATAGAATTTGTTATATTATAGTTATTATACTATAGTTGAACAGCTTCTGTTATCACTATTATTAAAGAAAAAACTACAAGTTAATCCTAAATTAAATTTATTTTTTTGAATACTTTTTAAAAAAATAATTTCAACTTAAAAAGAACAATTCTCTTAATTTTTAAGTAGTATAGTAAAATCTTAATAATAAGATAATTTTAAAAAAATATAAAATTATATTAATACAAGTAAGAAACAATAAATAAAAATAGAAATATAATAATTTAGTAAAGTGATTAGATTGTTAACTTTTAAGTAACAAATTTAAAGTTTAAATTCTAGTATTGATAAAAATTTAAAATTCTTTCTGTATTATAGTTAACTGTCTTTTGTTATTAATTAAAATTAGATATTTGTTACTTATATCATATCAGTATAATTAGAAGATTACATAACATTTATATAATAATTGTATTTTATACAAAAAAATACAAACTAATATCAGACAATATAAACCTATGATAAGTTTCTATAATTATATAAATTATAGAAATCAGAAAAACAGAAATCTATTTAGAAAACCCAAATAAAAAAATAGTCTAAACTTTTGATAATGCTACTGTAAAGACTAGATCTATGAAATAGAGCTAGACTTGTGAAGTTAGATAAAAATAAGTCAATTTTTAGAAAGAGATTATTGTAATTAATCAAGTTATTAGAATCTGTTTTGAAGAAAAAGATTATATGTCAAAAAAATAAATAAATTAGAAATATAATTATATTTAATTTTTTAAATTATCTGTACTAAAAGTCTGATGAAACTTAAATTAAATACCAAAATAATAAGAATATATTATGAAATAAGTACTAAAGTTGCAGTGAACTTTACAAGAGTATAATATTTTAATGATATGTCCTAAACATAAGTATTGGTTTTGACTATAGTATTATTAGATCAGTTATAATATTTAAAATACAAAAGATTCTAGAAAGTTTAGTACAAAGTCAAAAATTCCTCATATAAGTCAACTGTTTTAAAGATTTAGTAGTCATAATATATTTTTATTGATATTAATTAGAATCATTAATAGGTATAGATAGATGAGTGAATACAAAAATTAGAATATTTAAATAGAAAACTTACAAGCAGATTTCAAGTATAACAACTAGTATAAAAACTTTAGATGGACTACTTAAATTAGACAATGACTAAAATTGTATAAGTAACTAGTTGTATACTCTTTTCATAATTGTCTTTTATAATTGTAATACAATTATTAACTAAATATACTATTAATAAAATTTTAGGTTGCAAGTACTCATCTTAATATTTAAAAAAAAAACAATAAACAAAAATGTATAATAATAATAATAATAAATTCAATAAAAGTAAAAAAAAACAAGTCATTGATACAAGAATTATAAAATCTGTTGAATTATACTTTACTAATAGTACTTATTAGATTTGTAGTTGCTCTGTCTTTTTTAGTAACTATTTTTTGCTTTGTAAACATCTGATTCAAAAAGTTACAATTTTACCTAATAAAGATTATTAATAGTTAATCAGAAGTGATTTTGAACATTACACAACACCTCCATTTCTTATTATTAAAAATTTTAATAACACAATGACTAGTGTCTTTATATTATCTGTCTTACCAATATCACCCACAATATCAATTAAAACCCATGATTTTTTTGATACATCTTATAATAAAATTCCTAAAAATAATACTTATATCTTTATTAAATCAAACTGACCTTTGTTTGAATATACTTTCAAATGAACCTATACAGAAAATTGACTCATAATTGAAATTATATTCATGCAGTTATAAAGTCTAGTAAATTATTAAATATAAAAAAAAAATGCAAGCAGTAGAACAAAAGAAACATCAGCAAAAAACAAGAACTTCTGAAAATAGAAAACCATATCTAATGTACCTCTCATTTCCAAATGTAAATAGTCAGGAGGATGAACTGACTCTACTAAAAACGGATAATAATTGGTGTCTTCTATTATTAGTTGTAAAATTCTTGTAAAATCTTAATTCACTTTGCTAAAACATAATAAAATGATTTAATCCGGGTCTCACCTTATAAATAGTTTATTTAAAGGAATCAATTAGCAGTTTTTTAAAGTTTATTAACGATACATAAAAACGAGAAAAGAAATCGATGCTTTCATATCATATGATAACGCCGAAGGTCTTCATTGGTCCGGTCCAAATGATGATCAGACCACCTGCAGCTGCGGCAGTGGCGTTTATCACGAGACCCGCAATTTCGATGGCCGCCCTGGTCGTGTCCATAATTCGCATTAGAGTTTGGAACCGGTTTTAATAATTCGGATGAATTTTGTGATATTTTAGAAATTTTATCCAATTAAGTATTATGTTGAGTCGAATAAAATATCTGTGAAAAATGGGGCAGTGAACCTTTTTTTTCTTATAAAGATTTTGCCCAAGTGAGGAAATGATGTTCAACCCTGGACATATCCTATGACTTTTAGTGTAACGATTATTTATTTTTACTTATCGAGCGACTATCGCTATTATGATTGACGTAAATATGAAATTATGACGACGTTAGTAAACCGGACGCTTAATGGGACAAGTAATCGAGAAGTTAGTTTTATCTTTTATTTTGCAATAGTAATTAGTGTATTACTCTCACCAGTATTTACGTTTACTTGTATTGATTTATTTCAAGAGCTCTGAAGCGAGAACTGTTATACTACTCGTCAAGAAACCCCACTTTACACAAGTTGATCACCATAAATGGCTTCTTAAACGACTCTTCAAACCTCTTCATCACGAAAAAGACGAGGTATGTCTAAATTAATAAGGAACCTTTCTATCGTTCGATCGTTCGATAATAGTTCATAAAATAATCGTATCTCTCACAAAATATTCACAGAACATCCAAGTTTTGTACGTATCAAACACCAAACTCAGTTCGTTAATTAGATCTCAAAATGAAAGGAAAGCAAATGACGTGTATACACCTCAGAATTTGCCTGATCTTCAAGAGGACGATGATATTTCGTACAAATTAATGCCGAATACTCGTGTTATCACATTATGTACAAAATATCGCATGATATTTCTTTTGGATGTTACAACATCTTTGGCGACTATTTATTATAAAAACATGAAGGGCGTACTTATATCTGAAGCAATAAAAGTGTATGATATATATATTTTGTCTAAGATTTTCATATTTCGATAATCTTATATGTGCATGCACATTTTATAGTCTATATCGATGTATTGAAGGCCTAGTACAGCCTTTTACTATTCAAGACGTGGATAGAGATAAAGCATTACATGTTAGTACCTACATACGTTTGAATTTCAATAGCGTGCTTAATTTACTTCCTATTCTGTTAAATAGTTTGAACCCGAAATATCGATTACTGTTATAGCCGAAAGTTCACATTTCGCATCCAACGCAAATTTACTGCCTATGTTAAGGGACTTTCCGACTATGAGGGTTCTTTTAAATGGGGTTGTTGTAACAAAGAACAACGTAACTGATATTATCAATAATCTGCACGTGGAGCTCGCTAATTTTCAGCAAGAAGTGGCGGAATTGCGGCAAAGACTTTGCAGAGCTAAATTTCCAGTAGCATATGAGATGGATGTGGTCGGGTCAAAGACTGAAGATGATCATGACGTTGAGGTTGATACTTTCATGGATAATAAAAAAAATTTGTGGAGATTAGGCTCTAGTGGAGCAAATCTTGCTTATAGCCTTAATGCTGGTTTGTTTGCTAAAAGCTTACTACCTGATGAAGGGTTTCCTTCCTTAATTGTTATCACAGATGGTGTTGTTAAATCAACTCTCGATCAAATGTCTGCGGATGATGACATAATACAACAACTTTGCAAAGAGGGCATAAGATGCAATATTATTCAGGTCGGTTCGCATCAAGGGTTCGATCCATGTTGCAACTTTGGATTACTTCCTGACATTGAGGTTTTACAATTTGTTGCTGCAGCCACATCTGGTGTTTGCCTATTTTCTGAAAATTGCCCAGACATTTCTGACGATAATTCATCTGTTACATCCCCTTCACAAAGCGAGTATCGTACATTCAACTTCTACCATGAACAATTGCTTATTAGAGAAACACATTTTGTGAAAAAGAGAAATCAAGCAAGGTATTTGAATGGCGCCAATGATTGTAATTCATATAATTTTCCTTGGGATCCGAGAAGTCAGCCTCCTGAGGCCGAGGCTATGCCTCTGCGATTTTTAGAATATTCTATATTTGCTGATGTTCAACAGCTCATAACTGTCCGGATGCGCCATGGATTCAACATTGATAATATAATTTTGAGTCCGGGGAAGGGCAATAATAAAGCAGAGGTGATTACTATAGCAATGTCAAGACTTTGGTTACCGGATGTTACTATCCAATATAAAATTAAAGGACAATGGACTGGTGAATCGAATGGGTTATCCCGGCTCAAAGCTCTTAGGATTGAGATCCACGTACTTGCGGATACTGAGCTAGACATCTATCTGCTAAATTTTCAGACGGCTCGACAAAATAATGATCCGAATCACCCACTCTTTTGGAAATTTACGAGGTTATATAATTTTTTGAAGACTATCTTAGATACTGATGAGCTTTTCAAGAAACATAAAGCACTTAGAGATAATAACAAGCAACAGCTACAACGTCCAATAGCCGCTGCTGCTAGATTAGAGTCATTAAGGCAATTATGGATTACTGAGCAGAGCACTCGTAATATTAACTTTTGGTATGACAACGCAAAGTTTGATTTTCTAATATTATCCGAGACATTACAATCAAACATGGCTTTAGATTTGTCTTCTGAAAATAAGAGGCATAAACAACTTCCGGTAATGATTGAAGAACGATTAGCGATTATCAAAAATTATTTATCAGACTGGTCTACATTTACTGCATCGGAAAATATATTTGTGAAAGTATTTAATCAGATAGAAGGTGAAAAAATATCTCCAATCAGTTTTTGCGAACTAAGAATTAGGCATGAAGTTGGCTACCTTGTCTCAATAAAATTTTCATTTTTCAATGTTGACAATTTACGTCGTCAAAAAGAAATGATTGATATAATCAACGAAATCGGCGGAAAGAACGACAAAAGCAAAAATTATTACATTTGTCGGAGGCCTTTGTCTTCGTTTTTTATACGTAATATTGATGATGTGCTTAACGAAAAGGACATTTCATTAGATAATCGGTTTACAGGTAGAAATTGTGTCATTAGGTCTTATTTGAGACACTCCCGATGGTCCTGGTTATCAGACCTTGAAAAAGATATTTCTCTAGTAAATAAAGAGACTATAACGATACAAAAGTTAGCATTTCAGTATTTATGTCAAGCGCGATCAGATGAGGGATGTTTATTAGTTTTTGAACATAAAAATAAAAAAATTTTTTACCATGAATTGGAATTCTTAAAAGATAGCTCCGATATTTCATCTGTAGATCAAAAAATTGTATGTGGTATACAACATCATATTGTTATTTCTGACACTGAAGTGATAACAGAACTTTGGATGGAACCTTTACAACATTCTCAAATAAGGCTTCTTTGCGAAACATTTGCCAATAAGATATTTGCTGCGGATAGATTGAAATTATCACAATTAGTAACGTTTGATCAAATTAGTTATATCGCAAAGTCTCGTGTGAAACAACATCTTCAGGCATTGTCCTTGACTACACCGAGAACGTTCAACCCATCAAAATTATTTCAATTACCTGTATTGCTTCGCTCCAGTGGAGTAATCGTCGCAAATTACAATCTTCCCTTATTTTTGTTTGGACAATCCAATAATAGTCAGTCACAGAATTTTGCTATTCGTGCACAACAATCTGAGAGATTGGTTTCTTCTGGAAACAACGATTTGAATTATAGTGACTCTAGAGTTCAGTCAGAGAGTAGCCCATATTTAAGACATGGCAGTGTTAGTCATAAAAATTCACCTTTTGAAGCGACTGCACAAAGAAAACTTTCAATTTCCATTCTTAATGATTTCAATAAAGATATAGCTTATTTTGTTGATCGAGATTTGATTGCAAAATTAGGGCCTTCTGATAGAGATTTTGCATTACTACACTTGTTTATTGAGAAAAATTTGAGCAAGTATGCTGATGGTGAAGTTGATACGACTATCGATAATTGCAAAGATTCAATTACTTTGAAAGACATAAATAACGGATTGTCAATAGCCGAATTACTACAAGGCGCTATGACAACTATTGCTTATGCATTAAATCTTCACGAGACTCGATGCTTTATTAAAATTGTGAACTCTGGTTCCTTCCTTCTTATTTTCATACCATCTTTTAAAGTATTGTTGGATGCAATGATCCAACATAATGGCATATATGCCAAAAATAAGATTACATATTTTGGGATATTAATATTTTTGTGCAAACGACCGGAGCCATCGCTTGGTAACTATCCCCGTGAATCTTCATACATTAATCGCGATCAATCACTTGTTTTCGAGCCTATAAGAATTATTCATAGTAATTCCATTCCGGTGAATAATCCATTGGATCCAATGCTACTTGGTTGTTCTTTTCCTGAATATCCTATGAGCTTTACTCGTTCTGATATTTCCAATTTAGTAGTAAAAGAAATCTTCAATATCACAAGATTATATGCACGTGGATTTATTAAATCAATATACGCTAGTGTTTTGCAAAAACATAAGATCACGGAAAACGACTTCCGCAAAGCAATTGATTCATGTGTACATTTTCATGTTGATATCGACATTACTGGTTATGTTAATGCTCATGTACAGGCGTCTCGTCAAGGTTCAGATAGGTAAGTTCGTGAGAATTCTAAAAAAAAAAGGTAGGGTTCTGACATTATTATCTTTTTATAGTGATAATGCAAACGACATCTCTCAAAAATTTGTTGCCGTGCTTGGTCATTACTTTGAACCGGTTACTTTTGCTGATGGTGAATTGGAAAATTGTTATTATTATTATCGGCCACCATTCAAAAAGTCAAGTAATTCATCCATTGACGTTCATGAATATGTTGCTGACATTCCTGAGGGTTTTCTAGAGACTTTTAGTTGCGCAGAAGATCCACTATTTATCCGTTTGGAGTGTATATTTAAGAAACCTGCCAAACCTATCCCAAAAACCGAGAATACAAATTCAAACCACATTGGGTCTGATGTAGATAAAATTGAGTCTGATAAATTTGTCCAATTTCCCACTTCCAGTTTGCCTACGTCTTATTCTCGTATTATTGATGAAAAGTTATATGACTTTTCTCCTGAATCTATCGGAACAGATGCATCACCAGTAGAATCTTCCGATGGCACTACAGCAACTTTACGCTTGATATGCTTGACTTTGCCTCAATTTCACAAGGAAGTTAATGGTTCTCGTTCAACTGAACATAAAAATGATTATAGCCAGACAAGGTTATTAACTACTTTTTGACTTAAGTAATTGTCAAAATGATATACTAAAAATTAACAATTAATTTTCCTTTGCAGTACAAATTCAAGCAAAATTTTGTACGAATGTCTCACTGAAGATAAAAAGGAGGCTTTAAATGAAACTCAAAGCCGCATTGACTGGCTCACGAAAGAGGAAATAATGCATATGCTCTTAAAGTCACAATCTGTTGATCGTTCAGTATTATCATTTGTTCAAACACAGCTACGAAACAAAAATCCTTTTGTGAATTTCCCAACAACATTTAACGTTCCTTTATCGTTTGTTCGTCGAAAACACGGGAAGCATGGTCATGAATTATTTTTAGAAGCATTAAGTAAAGCAGATATGAGGCCATTTACACTAAATCAAGTTGAGGATTGCTTCTATATTAGCGAGGATGATGAAATTGGGGAGCCTTTGGTGTCTACTGATGGTAGATGCGAAGCTTCCCCCGTATTTGGAACCGCTACTGATGATGGTGAAATAGCCGAAGATCAATCAATATCTCAAGTTCCTGCATTAGATGATTATCAAGATGATGGAGAAGACGAAATTGCTTCAGGCCTAGGAATTAGTATTGGTATTTCTGATGAGGATGATATTCCTGATGAGGATGATGATATGCCAGATCTCTATTCAAAGCCAGTTAAGCGAAATATTGTCCATAAACAATTATTCTGGCTGCTTTTTATACCTCAAGAAACTAGCATACAAATGTATTTTTATTCTCAAGCGGTTTCTCAAGTTAAACTATCCAACATTATTAAGCATGTGAGAAATTGCATTATACAAGCGTCTGAACGTGTTAATAGGATAATTTTATTGACAGACCTTAATAACACTCATAATTGCAGGTAAGTTGTGACTTTATATAATTAAACTCAAAAAACAAGAATACACGCAATTCTTCGCTTATGTTACGATCTTTTGTGGAATTAGTAAATACTTGGTGCGACCTGATCCTGATGACTCTTCAGATTCTGAATCTTCACCTGAAGATAATGATTTGTCCTCTGAGGATAATTGTTTGGTTGATGTTCTTTCAAAGACACAAAACGATGATGGTCAACATAGTGTTTCTAAAAAGTTCAAGATTGGACAATTTGAATGTCCTTTGGTATATAGGCAAACGTTTCCGCTTCATTGGCGATTAAAACCGAATAATGCTATAAATGGAATTGAATCTAGTGTTCTCAATTCATTTGCTGTTAATAACCGAAAGCATATGTTTGTCTATGCTAAAGAAAGTTCTATTGTATATATCAAGATTTCGGAAGTGGGCCCAGATGATAAAATTGATGATGCTTCTCGATCTGCGAGCCTTTCCCAAAGTATCAATTCTATAAGCACTATTCAATCTGAAACGTCGTCAGTCACCGCTGCGGAGGAGTCTCGAAGATCTCCATCCAGCAAGAGTGGTAGCAGTCCCAAAACCTCTATTACTCTTTCACCTGGTTCTAAAAAACCAACATCACAACAGCGTATTTCAGAATCGAGGGAGCTAGTAGTTGAAGTCTTTGGAATAGATCCGCCTGGTAAAGAGATCACAGAAGAATTAATGGATCTATTAGAAACTAAATTAATGACTAATATCACATTGACTGCTATGTCAACTTTTCTTGTTCGTAACCCCAAGTTCAACCCTACTCGGGAGGTATGCACGAAATATGTATTATTATGTTATTTGTGCGAGCCATCTTCGTCGCATCAATCCGTGCCACTTGATGTTCAGTGTGGTTGTGAGTGCATTTCCGATTGTCATGCGAACATTTCCGAAAAATTTTTAATAAGGAAATACGCCCAAACTGTTGAATTACGCATTTTTATAATTCGTGCATGTGACAATATCTCTGTCCTTAGGTGACTCGCACGTATTAATGTTATTTAATAGGTTTTCCCGTTAACATGATTGATTTTTTATAACTTGATGTGTAGGATGTAGATTTTATTTTACCAGTTATGAAAACATCTAAACGTCTTTGTTTACCCATTCCATCGTCGATTAAAAATGTCTATACATTCCTGGTATATTTCAAGCAGAATCTGTCTCATTATCTTAAAGTGTTTAGCGGCTCAGAGGTTACGGGTGCAATCGAACGTCATCATAGTGCGACTTATGGCATTTCATTCAACAAAAGTTCTAATATTGATGATGGAAGGTAGTTATTGATATTTATTTTACTTATTTTATTTTTGGAATATGTACTATATTAAACACAAATTAATTATAAATTATATAGAAAATCTCCAATTTCATCTTATGATATTCAACTTCATGAATTTTCATTTTACTATAATAATAATACTCAACCTCGTTCCGCTAATCCTACATTCGAGTCATCAGTTGGTCAAGGAATTGCAGGAATTTGTCTAACCTTAATAAATCACGATGGCAGACCTGTGTTTGAATTACCTATGTCAGATAAATATACTTTAGATAAATGTGTTATGGATGATACAGATATGGCGGCTATATTAGATTATATTTCAGAGGAAGAAGTTTTTATCGCCTCAAATTTGAAAAAATATGAAAGTACTAACTATGAATACAGTTTGCATATCGACCTATGGAACCAAGGTCAACTTAATTATGAGATTCTATTCGAGAGAATCAGAAAAAGTTTTAGACAATGCCTATGCGACTATTTCATAGAAATTTCAATTACCCAAGGGTTAGGCCGCATTTTAGATCAAGCTGAATTCAATTCGCAATCTTCTGAAAACTATTATACTTCAGATCGGGAATGTTCTCCGAAATATATTGACTCACATATCCAAAAAGTATTTATAGAACCTTGTATGGCACTTTTAAAAAAATCAGTCAATTTAGAAAATCCAGCATTACATTCATTACAAGTACGACTTGATATGCCATCATGGATGATGGATGATTTCTTAGCAGAAGTTCGCGAGCTTTTATCAGATATTCATGCCATATTTACTCCTGTTATTTTACGAGACATCCCATCTACCATTAATAATGATATTATTTATGAAATATATCGACCAAATCATTCAGTATCGGCAACAGAACAGGCTATGACAGTTAGGCCTCAATATTTATTAATTGCTGGTCTTAAAGAGTTAAATAAAAAATATGGTGTATACAAATCACTGTCTCAAGAAGATCGTCGAAGCAGTTTAGGGAGTGATAGTACACATTCACGTAGAAGTTCTGTTGAAGATCTCTCGAGCGAAAAGTCTAATATCCCTCACTCACGAAAAAGTTCTTTAATTACGCAACAAACTCGTCTCCTTGATATAATGATGTACACCATACCACATTATGAAGTCCAATCAAACCCACATACTCAAATTTTATACCGTTCTTGTTTCTTAGCCATGTCAATTGACGGCTTCGATTTGACGATTTATATCTATAATTGGCACAAACATTATACAGAGATGGTATTTTCTGCGATGAAAAAAATATCTGACTGGCATAATCAACGTATTGGACTTTTAAATAGTATACTCTATCAAAAAATGGGCTTATTTTATCATGCTAGTCTATCGCTTAAATCCCCGGCGCCTCCTCAAAGCATGCCAAATACACCACGGTCTTTGCAGTCACCTATTTCCAATCAACGATCTTCACAAATTGATTCTTCATATAGTCAACGAGCATTAATGTCTATTGGACAAAACACTACTGATCAGCAACTTATTGTCTCTCTTATAAATGAAAGATTTCCTCATATTCAAAAGACCGAAGGTCGCTCTGAAGACAAAAAGAATTCAGATTCAAAGCATGATGTAAACGTTACAGATCTCAATACTGGTATGGTCTTATTGAATACGCTTGATTTGAATGAAGTGCTAAAAAGTGTTTGTATCGATTCATTTTTTGAGAAAATTCACATACGAGAGAGCCGTGATGCTCTGAAACGACATGGCCCTCCTTTTATTGATGCGTGGATCCGTCAGGCGAAGATCTCTCAAGCTCATGAAAACGAAAAATCTGTACATAACAAATGGGCAAAGAGAATTGAAGAGTGTAACATTGACAATACTGCTAATACACCAGAAGTGATCAAAAAGTCTGATTTGGCAATTATATTCCGTACATCTCGACTTTTACATTTCTGTAGGACGCCACTGCTTTTTGGCGGTAATGCAGATTTATTTACGCGCACATCACCTGTTCGTGATTTTCAAACATCAAGTGATACAGCATTTTCTCGTTGGTATCAAGATATGTCCGAAACATTCTTACAAGAATATTCTTATTACCTTGAAGGAATTGGTATGCAAGTAGTAATTGGAGGAAAATCTGGCGTAAATTTGGTTGACGATGGATCAAAATCATCTGCTACAGAAAATGTGCTTTCAAATTCTCCTGCAGTATTCTTGTTAAAAGTTCTTCAAGGGGGTTCTATTATGTGTGAAGTTCGAATTCAAGGTGTATTTGTTAGTGTAACCCTATATATACTCAATCAAGGACAGCATCTAACATCGCTAGGATTTTCTGACGCTGATAGTGATCGTGGAAACTTAAGAGTATTTACTGAGGAATGTGGACGATTCAGAAAAATGATTCATGTAAATTCTTTTGTTTATGACTTTCATCTACGTTATATAAAACACGTATTGGAATCTCAATCAAAAACCTCCCCAGCCTTTAATGTTTTGGATGTTATTAATGCATTCATTCGACGTAATCGTCAACCTGCGCATTTTTCACGTAATCGTATTTATCACGATAGTTATGATAAAGAATTAGGATCGATACCTGATGATTTATACGAATTTATAATATCATCACCTCAACGATACGGGTTTAGAGCAATAACTTTTAATGGTGAGCCAATCGCCTGCTTTACGACATCTATATGTGGAGACCAATGCACCCTAGAATCTTGCGATCTCTGTTCAGCTTTTGGAAATGAGACACCACAAATCACGTTAGTTTTTACTTCTTCGAACCAGGCACCTACCGCAGGAACTACATCTTTAGAATATTTTGTAATCGTGTTGAACGATAATTACGCGTCCCTTGATTCTACTTTAAGTGTTAGGGATTCTTATCACGGTTATAGATATCAAACATCAGATATTTATTCTAACAAAGATTTCAAAGAAAGGAAATATGCCTTAATCAATCGTACTCGTGAAAGACTTAAGTTGGTTATAAATCAAGTAAGATCATTTTTATTTTGTATTTTTATTTTCAACTATTTTTTATACACAGAGATTCAATACTTAAGTTTAATACTTAATAATAGGCAGTACAATTTAAGCGACGGGAAGATTTATGGAAAAAATTAAGCAGTATAAAGCCAAGTGATAAAAACAATGCTAATAATAGCACAAATTATTCCGCATTGCTTTCCATTACAGATTTCCTTGATTTAACAAGGCAATGGTACAGTCGAGAACTTGTTACCATAAGTCCAGATTTTAAAGACATTTTAGAATTGAAATTAAATTGGGTAGAAGTATTAAATTTTTTATCAACATATTATTCTGAATTGACAAGAGAGTTATATGATGATACTGAACATATTAAGCATCTAATAATATTTAATCAACGTAACCATGATTTGTTGATACATTTCATTTTACTGAGACAAGATGAAAAAGAGACTGAAATAGGAAATGATGACATTAAGTTAGTAGTAAATGCAGTTTGTAAAGAGGACAACCCAAATTTTGAAGGATTAGAATTGCAATTTATCGGCGATATAATCAGAACAATTGGGTATTGGATGTGGCAAAAATTATTTTAAAAATATAATTTCTTGTACAATATTATTATTCGTTTATATTTGTAATATATTACTTGGAACTTAAAAATTCTTTGTACCATACGAGAAATAAATAAGGTTATTCTAAGTAACCAATCGTTCTGCTAGTAAAATTTGGTATTGTATTTTATTTAAATAAATTGACCCAATATGCATATTACACTATCTATATAGTATGTTAATTATAACTACTCTCAAGAACATCAAAACTTCGACAAGTAAAAACCATAAAATATTGGTAGCTAATACTTGACAGTCTAATTAAATAAGATTACTTTAAATTTTGAATATTTTTTACTACTGTTACTCGTTTGAAGAATTATCTTTATTGCTATTTCCCTCAGGTTGTATTAAGACACGTAAATTTTTTTGAACTACTAGTGATTAGATAAAGTCATATTAAATCTTCATTTATATTGGTATACATGTGACACTTAATGTATTTATGAAGAATTACTTACTTTGTTGAAATAAGTTAAAATTGAAAGAAAAATGCTTTTTATAAAGACCACCCTCTTGCATAATGTACAAACCTTTCTTAGAGAAAAAGAAAATCTTTACTAGATAAAATTCCAGATTTTACGCACAGCCGAAAACAACTTGAGAATTTAAGTCGCATGAACTCCGTGTCCTCCCTGTTCACGTATTAAGTTAGAAGCTATGGTTACATGTTTTTCACAAGAAAGCTGGATATGAAATTTATTTGGTGCCACTATCCGAAGATATGTCGCGTGGCAAATTTTTAGTGGGTTGAAAACACTCTAGTTTCTAACATTTACTGTTACCGTTACATTAAAAACTTTTACTAATTTTAAATACCTATAAAAACTTCTACATCGATAAATGATATTCGCACGTGTCAATGTTTATTACTCTTATCGATTCCACGAAATTAGTTGTCGTACAACTATGATCATTTATTTGCGTTTCTTTAGTATCTCGATTTGATATCAAACTTTGATTAGGAATAGGCAATGAATTTAGACTCGTATCAATGCGGATTGTGATAATATCTAGTATAATCATTACTAGATGTAATTTAAGCTAGCATATGAAAATGTTTATTTTGTATATTAAAATCGATAACTCTAATATTGACAAGTTTCACATTTTTTTTTTTTTTAAAAAAAAAAAAAAATTTTATCTGCTTTTAATGCATTTTTATTTTCTTTAGTGCTGATTCACTATATACGTTACATGAAAAATGAATAACCAACTATTTGAACTTACAAATATAGCAAAAATTCGGACATGCACCAATAATATTTAGCATAATTTGCACCAATTAACTATCTAAAAATTAAATCCGCGGGAAAATAAAATTTTTACTTCGGTTATTGTAAGACTCCATGTGAATATGAAGTACATACGCAGCTTTTGGTGTAATCACGTGAGTCAATCGAAAAAAGAAAAAAATTAAAAGGTCAAAATTGAAATGTAGAAAAAAAAGAAACAAAGTAATCACGAATGTAAAATATACAAATATATAATTATGAATATAAAAGAAAGGCAGAATTATTTAATGTGCAGCAGTAGGAGTCAACATCTCAGTAGAAGCTGGAATGTTTCCATTGGTATGACCGCCTGTAACTTTCGAGATCTGATTTTTGACGCCCACTTGGGCATTTAAGAAAGCGTTTTTAGCATGGTCAACGACATCTTGACTCTTTGATAAACCATGATTAATATATGATTGTGCCTTGCTCGTAATTGGATAGAAATATTCTTTAGCCGTATTTTGACCCTGAGCGATCGCTGATTGACCATTATCCCTTATTTCGTTAGCTTTGACAGCCAAGTGGGAAGTTGCTTGATTTGCAGTAGCAAGAAAAGAACCAGCACCGGCCACAAGGTTACCTACAACAAAGCGTACTACACAGTCATACCACCAACTAATTAAAGGAACGCTTTTAATAAGCCCTTCGAGAGTCCAGTTGTCTTCTTGCTTTTCAATGTAAAATAAGCCATCCTCTTTCTTGCAGAATTTTAAGACTGTAACTGAAGGAACTTTGATATCGATGAAAGGAAGAACCCTAGGGCTTAAATGTTGCATTACTTGGACCACAGCAGTTTTACCACTAATTTTTTTATTGAATGAAAAAGAATATATTATAAAAATTTGTGTTTTCGAAATAATACTAATCCACAGTTAATGTAATATACTAACTTGAAGGCTGGAATATCGATAATATCGGGTTCTCGACTATTTAAAGAAACCCATACCCGAAAAACTTTTCGGATATTGTGTGTTCCTTGAACATTCAAAAGAGGATGAGATAACTTGGCATCTTCAGTAAAATAGGTCTCAAGGACATGTTTATAACGGTCCTCATCGTAAGAAAGGAGGTCATCAATGATTTCTGTAAAAAGTAACTTTATTAAATAAAATTGATACATAACAATAATCTATAATTCATCAATCGAGACCTCATATCAAGCTTACCCGTTAGAATCTCGCCAGCTCTCCTTTCGTCCATAGTTGTATTTTTTTTCGTTCAAATAATTTAAAGAAACAAAAAGTTTTATATAAATTTATAAAATTTATAGCAAGTTAAATTGTTTTATTTTTTTGTTTATTTATGTAGGGGGAAAAAAACAATAGTGAATTGACCAGTTTTTATAAAAACAGGAGAAAACTGAACTACAAACACGAAAGTAAATTTTCACATGCTTTGTTACAATAATCTCATGTCACTCTTTTTTATTGTTAATTCATATTCACACGGCTTCTGCCTGCTTTATAATATGACACTAATATGACCCTTTTGGCGAAGGTGGTCAAATGATATAAATGAGGCAAACAAGGTTTTTATGTCGTATAAATTATTTATATTTATTCTTAATGATATCATAGACAGAAATTCATTTATTCACCTATGTCTTATACCGTGTTCCCCCATTTTCCTATTCCAGGAAAGACTTGCATCTAATTTTCTTCCCCTGATTTTCATTCAATCTCCTCCTGATTCCGACTATTGAACTTATTTATTATCTGTCACTTTCAGCTTCTGATCGTGATAGCGTGCGGACTACAAAGAATTTAAAGCCCGAGACAAGAATTTCTGGAATGGCTTATACTTTACCTTTAATCCATCCTGAATATAGTGAAATCCTCCCTACTTTCGTATCGTAAATGTATATCATATACATAATTAATTCTTGCCGCCTTAAATAGCAATACAAAAAAATAAAATAAAATAAAAATAAAATAAAAATCCAAATACGGAATTATAAATTTCAATCTCGCTCCAATATATCCCTCCACAGTAGAAGCATGTGTGTAAATGCTAGCATGTAACTGAATGCTCTTAACGTCGATTGTGTACACATACGAATGCACAATCTTATTTCATTGTGAAAGAGATTAGAAATATTAGATTTGCATCAATTGTGTGCGTAACGTGTGCACCATACGTACTCACGCAAAGACCTATTCTGCGAAACCTAAATGCTATCATGAAAGCAGATCTGTGATGATCGTCATATCTATTGTCCTCGAGCATCACTAATCAATACTACTCTCATTATCTGATCATGTGATAATCTTACCAAATGTTGCGTCAAATTTATCTTATTTCAACAACTGAGCCCAGTAATCAGGTAAAGAATGTGAAATTTTTGATAAACCTGATGGAAAGACAGATCACGCTCGAGATCTACTTTGGGTTTTGCATGTCATGTGACCTTATCGGCAATTTAACAAGACTCACGTGAATGCTATTGCTATACGTATATTGTAAAAAAAATAAAGATAAGAATTCTATAAATAAATTTGCCACAAGGCCCTCAATGAACGCCACGAATGTGCATCTCGTTAAAATTGTCATTCTAGAAATAAACAATCACCTGAAAGTTCTGAATATATACTCACTCATATGCTATTGTAAATGCTTGTAACACAAAGTGACTAGGTTTTTTTGCCCAGGGATAGAAATTTTAATATAATAAAATGTTTGTGCTTTACCGGATTACGTACTAAAGTCCCTGACGCGGGGCTTCCATGTTCTTAATTTCTTACCGTATTAGGCAGATATCGTCCGACAAATGATAGCTTATGTTGATCGCATATTTATATAACGCACATACATAAGCCATATTCATTCTTAGTTGATTGGATTGGCCCAAAATTTGAGTCCAATAAAATTATCCATTACTTTTTATAGTAAAAACAAAAAAAAAGTTTGTCGTGAATTTCATCTATTGAAAAAGAATATAATCACATTTTTTTGATAATCATTCCAAAACTTTATTTAACTACTTACGTAATTAAAAAACATTATTATGTAAAACAATTATTATAAAACTAATATTATTATTAAAAAGTAAATGTAGCAAACAAGCCATAACTATTGACAATAATGACAATAATGATAGTGTTCTCACTTTATTTAAAAATATTCTATTAAAAAACAATTATATGTTTAAAATTAACTAGTTTTAAATTAACTAGTTTTTTAATATATATAGTATTTATTTGTTTTTAATATATAATAATCAAATTTAAAATATATATTATTTAATTAAATACAATTATATATCGTTATCAGCATGACGGAAGTTCTATTTTATTTTCTAAAAATATGCAACTTGCCGATCATAATTATTAGATTGTGATTGGTTCGCATAAGTTCTACAAGATTCATTATTAAGAATAGAATGTAATATTTTAAAATTATATATAAACTTAATAGTATTTTTTTTTATAATTTTAATTATGAAATTTTTACTAATTAAATATTTTTTAAGCTTCTAAGTAAAGTTGTAGAGTAGATTCTTGTGATCTTAATAGTAGTAAAATCATTAAAATTGGTGTAAAACTCATTAATACATGAAATTTTTAAAGATTAGATATAAAAATTTACTATTAAAATTTTTTTATAATTTTTTCAGAAATTAGCTAATTTAAGTTACTTTTTTGTGTAATCCAAAAAACAGAGTTCTTTAAATAAATTCAAGATATATACAAATAGAATTTTTTTAAATTAAACATCTTATAAAATTTTAACATAATAAATAACTTATTTAAATCTATATATTATTATTATTTTTTTTTTAGTATTAAGGTGATCTCTTTGATTATAGCTTTTTATTAATACTTATATTAATATGTTTTATATAGATGTATCTATAATGAACTATCAGACAAGTGTACAACTGGCTACATGTATAACTTTTCTATATTATCTATTTAAGGAGTCTGCCTAAAGGTTTCTTACCAGTTGTTGTACCTAACACTTCTGTTTAGATGTTCCATTTAAATTCTTTAATCTGATCTTAGTATTAATTTCACCAGATCACAGATTTAGATCTATTTGTTTTTAACTATAGGACTATAATCCTTAAACTATTTTTATCCTTAAAGTAAACCTATCAGAGTAAGCCATATTCCTTTTTATCGCTAATCTGATTTGACATTATAGTTAAGACCAACACTTACAGTTAGGGTTACCTCTTAAACTGCTATTATTCTTTTAAAGTTCATCCAAACTCTAGTATACATCTTTTCAATTTTTTCTTTATTATTCTCTACTAGCTGCAACTCAGAACTAATTAACTTTTCAGACCTTTAATCCAGATAGTCTGATATGGTATACTTATGTATCCTTTTTCTTTGGTAATTTTGGTAGTCTGGTTGGTTATATGCTCTTTTATACATCTTGTTATCTAGTTTATTTAACAGTTTTTATAAAGTTGTTTCATGAGCTTTCATTGGTCTAATGGCACCATCAAAAGTTTGTGCTACCTCTTTACTCAGAATTTTCAAGTAAGTTTCTGTCTCCTTAGTTTTTTAGCTTTCTACACCTGGTAGTCTTATCATAGGTTTGCACTGAAGCCTTATATGATACTGGTTTTTTATCTTTCTTTATGTATATATAACATTATACTTCGCATAGATGCTTCAAGCTCCCAATATCAAGTGAAGCTTAATTTGATATATTTAAGATTACAGATACCCAAAACCCAACTGATCAACAAGAGACAGTTACTATAATACAGGTATAATTTCCAAAATTCATTGTCTATAAGAATTGAACCTTAAACCTGCTATTTAAGGGTTGACAACCTATCCACTTCACTAGGTCACCACACCTAAATCTATATATTATTAAATTTTAATAAAATTAATTAAAAAATAAAAAAGTTTTATAAGTAACACATTTTTAATTTACTATATAAAAATCTATTATACCATCTAGATCATATAAAAAATAATCTATATATATCCTATCTTTAAGTTTTATTATAAACTTTATCATGAAAAAATTTGTTGCTTGCTAATTTAAAGTTTTGCAATAATAAAGTATATTATAATTAAAGCTTATAATTATCAAGTTTGTCTTATTAAGTTTTGTTCAAAACAAGTCTTTGGTTAAGTTTTACTGTGATTTTGCAGTAGTCTTACTATAGGCAATAGTTTTGCTATAATCAAGTGCTATAGTTGAATTTTGTTATAAATAGATGTTTTTGGAAATTTTTTTAATAAAATTTGCTATATTCAAACCTTATTGTAATTAAGTTTAGTTAACTAAGTCTTATAAGTTTCATTATAATTAAATTTTGCTAAAATAGATTTTAATTTGTTCAAAAGATAAGAATTTTATTGTTTGTAATATTTATAATTAACTAATTTTTTTAAAAAAATAAATAAATAAATTTATTAATATAATAACCAAAAATATTAATACTTATTTAGTTATTAATTATATAAATGCCAATATTAAATTTTATAGAAACACTTTAACTTAGTGATTTATGATTATATAATAAATATATTATAACATTATTTGTTTATCAGAATTAAACAGACTTGACTAAACTATATTCTTTAAAGGTAGAAGGCAGTATTTTAAAATTATATATAAACCTAATAGTAAATTTTTTTTATATTTAATTTTATGAAAAATTATATTAAG